CCAGTTGATGGCGAAAGGCATCCACTTGGAAGCCGACAGCACCACCCAGGAGTTTAAGATATACCACGGGAAGGGCGGCCTCTACATCGGAAAAGCAGTGTTGAAGAATAACGTCTTCGTCCTCGATTTCGTCCCCGACCTGGGCACTGCAGACAGCGACGCCATCGTCAACTTCACCGTCTGGACTCATCCTCCGGATCTCGATCCCGACTTCAGCCCAGGAGGTTTCTGGTACTCGCACACCATCCCTGAAGCAGAACAAACACGAGCATTAGCAACGATTCAACAAACGACAGCAGCAGAGACAACAACGACAGCAGCAAAGACAACAACGACAGCAGCAGAGACAACATCGGCAGCAGCAGAACCATCATCGGAAGCAGCAGGACCAACGACACCAGTCATCGAAACACCACCAACACCCGCACAACAGCTGAACCCGACTCAACGAGAAGTCCACCGAAGCGCAAACATCGTCGCCAACTTCTACTCCAACTCTGACGCGTATCAACGCTCACCCAGACATCGCGCTCCTGAAGACATCTGGCACGCACGCACAGGACATCCAAGCAATACGGTGTTAAACAACACAATACGAGCAGGAGTTCTAGACAAGGATTCGCTACTACTACTCGACGGCAGAGAACTTCAACGTGCACGAGGGACTTGCCTCATCTGCCCCGAAGCCGACTTACCCCATCGACCGTTTTCCTCTCACCACAACCCGAGCGCACCTACATACGCACCACTCGAGAAAGTTTACAGCGACATCCTCTACAATCGAGAACCAGGACAAGTCACCTACAATTACACGATCACCTTCATCGACGCCGCCACTCGATACGTTTGGCATCGCAACCTACCCAGCCGCGACATGGCACTCGCAGCATTCGCCGCTTGGCTACCGGTAGCAGAGAGGGAATCAGGAACACAACTGAAAAGCTTCCAGTCAGACGGAGGAGGAGAGTACACCTCTCAGCGCTTCAAGCAGTACCTGGCGGAAAGAGGGATCAAGCAACTCCTCTCCCTTCCCTACGCACATCAGCAGCAAGGAGTAGCAGAAAGAATGAACAGGACTCTGCAAAACAGCATGCGCAAACTGCTACGTGGCATGCGGCTACCCAACCACCAGTGGCCTGCAGCAATGGACCACGCTGTCATGCTGCACAACTTGTTGTCGTCGTCGTCACTCCCGAACAACGCCTCACCGCATCTGCTGTGGACAGGGAAGCTGGGCAGCACAAAAATGTTACGAGTTTTCGGATGCATGTTACGAGCGGGAAGATTTTCACAACGGGCACAGTGGGGACTACACCTCGGCATCGAGAAACATTACAACGCGTGGAAAATCTTCGACGTCCACACAAAGGAAACAGTAGCAGCACGTGATGTGATCTTCTACGAGCGACTCACCCTTCAGACGTACCTCGCCAACTTGCACGAGAATCGGGACCTCACAGGTGGCTTTCGTGGTAACCGAGCCTTCGCCTCAGCAGCGGACGAAGCAGACTGGGATGAACAGAACGTCGACAACGCATCCGAAGAAGCCGGACCTCTCCCGTACTGCTCCGTCGACGTGCCCATGGACGAAGAAAATCCTCGCGACAGTAACAACGCCGAAGTCTTCTATCACTTCGCCGACAACGGTTACGTAACACCTGCGACAGTCAACACAAATGAAGCAGAAAGGATAGGGCCAAATTTCATACCCGATCTAGAAGCAGGAGACGAAGCAGCGTATCCAGAGGATACAATACTCCCCTGATACTCACAGACTGGGCTGCAAATCCTTGGTCTCGTCACCGCAGTCCACGGGAACACAGGCAGCACGCTTCCTAAAGAGCATGCGACGGTTCAGCAGGCTCTGGGGGGGGAACACAGGGAGAAATGGCGTGAAGCCATGGACAGGGAATTAAAAGCATTAGAGGAACGCAACACCTGGAAGGTCGTTCCCGGAAGCTTAGCACGGAACAAGCCCATTCTCACCGGGAAATGGGTCTTCCGCATCAAGACGAAAGCTGACGGCACAATCGAGAAGTTCAAAGCACGCTGGGTCGTGCGTGGATTCGACTAGGAGCAAGGACGAGACTTCACCGAAACATTCGCCCCACTCAGTCCACATACCTCTCTCCGAATCCTTCTCGCCGTCGCCGCCATGAAGAAGAAGAAGCTGCGACAAATCGATGTTGCCAACGCATTCCTCTACGCACCCGTCAACGCCGAAATCTTCGTCGAACTCCCACACGGCACTCACGGAAATCCTAATCAGATCTGCCAACTACTGAAATCGCTCTACGGAATCAAACAAGCCCCGCGACTGTGGCAACAGCACCTACACACCCGCCTCACTCGCATCGGATTCCGCCAACTGCCTCACGACCAAGGAATGTACCGCCTCACCTAAGGCGCAGACTACATCCTACTGATCGTCTATGGCGACGACTTGCTCTACATCGGCTCCACCGACGACGTCACCACCTGGTTCGAAGGGGAGCTGCAGAAAGACCTCACGCTCACGGTCTCTTCTACCGTGACCCAGTACCTCGGGCTCAACATCCGCGAAGAAGAAAATGCGATCTACCTAAGCGCCAAGAAATACGCCGACACCATCGCCAAACGTTTTTCACTCACACCTACCGCCATCGCCACACCATACCGCTACACGGCAGGAAACGACAAGGGAAATTCCGCTCCACTCAAAGCTGCCGGAATACGAGACTACCAAAGGAAACTGGGCTGCCTTCTCTTCGCAGCTGTCACCTGTCGCCCGGATCTATCCTACTCCGCAAGCCAACTCGCCACCTATCTCAAGAAATCCGAAGCAAAGCATCTGGCGGAGCTCGATCGCGCACTACACTACTTCGTGAGCACACCGACGATCGGCCTGACTTACTACAAAGGCGAAGCTACGACGACGAAACTAATCGGCTACGTTGATGTTGACCATGCCGGCGATTCTGATAACAGGCGCTCTCGCACTGGCTACGTCTATCGTCTCGAGCCTATCGGACCTATCTCCTGGCAGTCGAGTAAGCAGGAACTAATCGCTCTCTCTTCAGCTGAAGCAGAATATATCGCCCTCTGTTCAGCCACCAAGGAAGGACTCTACCTTCGCGAGCTGCTGGAAGAAGCAAAATTAGCCGAGTTACCCAACTTCACCCTATTCTGCGACAACCAATCTGCAATTCGCATCGCCAACAAAAGCGGATTCGCGAACAGAACGAAGCATATCGCTCTGCGATACTTCTTTGTGAAGGACGAGATCGAGAAAAGGAAACTCGAATTATCCTACTGTCCCACGTCAGAGATGGCAGCCGATTATTTGACCAAGAAGCTCGGAAAACAGAAGTTCGAGTACTGCATGATGCTGACCGGACAAGGCCACGTCACCATCAGCGACACTCCAGAAGCGAAGGGGAGTGTTGGGAATAATAAGTCTTAAGCGCCTCTGTCGTGTCGAAACTCAGGACACTAGCGAAGCAGTCCGAATCGAAGCATCGCGAGTCAACCCTCGGAGGTTAGGGTAACCGCCTGGAGGTTACGAGAAGGTCAAAGGTCAGCGACCTTTGAATTTACAAATACAGCGCGACAGCAAGGACACACAACTGACTCGACATTGAGCAGTTGCGCGAGTCGCACTGTATTGAATCGCAACAGTAAAACGGTTTTAACTTATCTATTCGTATTCCTTGTACTATTATATAAACCTTTGTATTTGCTTGTTTAATCAACTTACTTTGCCCTCACATACTAGCGCAAGGTGGTTCAAGTATTTTCATTCAAACGCTTCCGCTACTACAATTCTACTCAGACTTAAACTCTACAAAGATCCTAGGGCACTTCAGCCCAACAAGTATGACAGTCAATCTTGGTGATTCAAATGACTGTTTAGCGTTGCTTTTATTTCGCCAATATGTCAAATGTTATCTTTCCGCCATTGCAATATATCATTGTCCTATTTCTAGGAGATTGTTGTTTCGTTTTGTCAGAACATTATAGCTTATATATATTTGTGTAGGCTATAGTGGGGCATCCCATAGGGGGTACAACCCTATCAGGGTTTCCTATATGTACTCACTTCATTCATAGTTGATTCATTCTCGTTCTAACTTTCTCATGGTATCAAGCAAGTTCCCCTGTGGGAACTGTGCTTAGGGCCCACCACATTGAACTTTTTTTCTGCCCGGAGCGCGCTCCGGGCCCTTGCTCTTACCTTTTTTTTTCGATCTGCCCTACGGCCCGAGCGCCGCCTTAGCGCGCCGCCCGCCCTAGCAGCCCGAGCGCCGCCTTAGCGCCCGCGCCCCGCTGCCCGCCCTCGCGCCCTATCGCCCTAGCGCCCACCCGCTGCCCGCCCTAGCGCCCTAGCGCCCGCGCGCTGCCCAGAGCCGCTCGTGCGCCACCCAGAGCCGCCCGTGCGCTAGCCGCCCGACGCGCCAGCCGCCCGACGCCCGCTAGCCGCCCGACGCCCGCTAGCCGCCCGACGCCCGCTAGCCGCCCGACGCCCACTAGCCGCCCGACGCCCGCTAGCCGCCCGTGGGCAGCCCGTGCGTCGCCCTCAGCAGCCCGACGCGCCGCCCGTGTAGCCGCCCGTACAGCCGTCCGTGCAGCCGCCCGTGAACCGCCCGTGCAGCCGCCCGTGCAACCGCCCGTGCTGCCGCCCGACGCGCCACCCGTGCAGCCGCCCCAGCCGCCCGTGCAGCCGCCCTTGAGCCGCCCGCGAGCCGCCCGTGAGCCGCCCGCCACGACGCCCGCGCCGCCCGTGAGCCCCAGCGTCACCCGAGCCGCACGAGCCGCCCGAGCCGCCCGTGCTGCTGCGTGCCCGAGCCGCCCTAGCCGCCCGAGCCGCCCGAGCCGCCCGAGCCGCCCGAGCCGCCCGAGCCGCCCGAGCCGTTTGAGGTGCCAAGCTCCTGCTCCTGTGGAGCTGCTACTGCTCCTGGGCCGGCGGAGTTGGTGTGCTGCTGTGTTGCTGTGCTGCTGAGCGACCCGACCCTTCCTGTCCGATGAGACTGTCAGCTGCTATCATGGCCACCCCCAGTGTCCTGGCTTTTGACGCTGAGGGCCGCGCCATTGACTTTGCAGTCTGGGTCGACGACCTGCAGCTGTACTTGCTTTGCGATACGGTAGATGAAGTTTCTCTCTTTGACTTTGTCTCTGGCGCTGTACCTGCCCCTCCTACTAATGCTGACCCCACTCTGCGCTCCAAGTGGGCCTCACGCGATGCGGCTGCACGTCTTGCTGTGCGTCGCCACCTCCCTTCCTCCGAGCGCGCACACTTTAGTCAGTGCAAGACCGCTCAGGCCTTGTACGACGCTGTAGTTGCGCGCTACTCCTCCCCTTCCTCTGCTACACTGAGCCGCCTCATGCTCCTCGCTCTTCCCTGACCTTGCAGCCTTTCCTACAGTCGCTGACCTCTTTACCCACCTTCGCGCTAGTGACACTCGCTACCGAGCTGCGCTTCCTGCTGCCTTCTGCGCCGAAAACCCCCCTCCCATGTACATCACCCTCTACTTTCTAGTCACCCGTCTCCCGGAGTCCCTTCGTGCTGTTAGGGACCAGTTTCTCTCTGTCTGTCCCACCACCCTCACTGTCGACCTCCTCGAGAAGTCCCTGCTAGCGGCCGAGAAGAGCATAGTCGCTGTAGGGGCCTCTCGTGGTGACCCCCGCACCCCCATCTTTGAGGGGTGTTCTCCTTCCCCCCTGTTACCCTCTATCGCCTCTGCTGCTGCGGCCGACCTCGATGGTCTAGAGTCGGTCGGTGCGGCGTCTGCCCCCAGCGGTAGGCGCCGCTCTGGCAAGGGCAAGGGGGGCAAGGGAGCGGGTGGAGCTAGCGGGGGCGGTAGCGGAGGAGGTGGGGGCGGCGGGGGGAGTGGGGGTGGCGGTGGAGGTGGTGGCGGGGGTGGAGGTACTAGTGGCGGCAGTGGAGGCGGAGGTGGCGGCGGAGGTGGCGGTGCAGGTGGCGGTAGGAGCGGCGGGGGCGAGGGTGGCGGTGGCGGCGGTGGCGGAGGAGGCGGGGGTGGCGGTGGTGGAGGTGGTCGGAGTGGCTCGTCCCAGCGGAGCAGCACTGGGGGTGGTCAGCGCCAGCACCAGCAGCAGCAGCGCTCTCGCGACGTCCCTGCCCCTCAGCAGCTCCGTGAGTGGTACTCGCAGCGTCAGCGTGGTGGGGCGTTCGGTCCCTGCACCTACGTCCTTCGCAACGGCGACCGCGCGAGTGAGCAGTGTGGGGGCACCCACACCGCCCGCCGCTGCTTTGCCCGCTTGACCGACGCTTGGCGCCAGCAGTTTCCGGAGGCCTCTGAGATCCCCCGCTGGGGAGAGCTGTCTAGGGCTGGTGTAGCCATCTTTGATCTTGACTTTGATGCTATCCTTGCTGCCATGTATGCTGTGACTGTTAGTGATGAGGGTGACTGTTACCGGTGTTTCCCGCCCGACCCGGGCATTGGTACTGCTGCGTCAGGTGCCAGTGAGGCTGCTGCTCTAGGTGCCAGTGCGTCTGTGCTCCCAGGTACTAATGAGTCTGCGCTCTCAGGTACTGTGTCGGCTTCGGCCTCTCACACCTTCACCCTTGACTCTGGGGCGTCTCGCTCCTTCTTTCGGGACCGCACCACTCTCACGCCGCTTAGTCGGCCGGTTGCGGTGTCCCTGGCTGACCCCTCTGGGGGTCCTGTCCTGTCTCGTTTCTCCACAGTCCTCCCGTGTCCGGCGGCTCCCTCTGGCACCCTGTCTGGTCTCTACATCCCCTCGTTCTCTACGAACCTGGTGAGTGGTGCTGACCTACAGGATGCGGGTGTCCACCAGTTCACTCCTGCTCATCAGCGGGTGACACACTGCACAGAGGCTAGCACAGGTCGCCACCTTGCTACGTTTACGCGTCAGCCAGGGTCGAGCCTGTACACACTTACCACTGCTTCTCCTCCAGGTGCTGAGTCTGGTAGGGTCTCTTCGTCTAGTCAGGTGTTTGCTGCAGCGTCCAGGTCTGGTCCTGAGTCTGCCCCCTGTTCGTGTCGCCGTCTGTCTCACGAGACCCTCCTCTGGCACCACCGCCTTGGCCACCCCTCCCTACTTCGGCTCAGAGGCATGGCCTCCCGTCTTCTTGTGTCTGGTCTCCCCCGGTCCCTCCCTCCCCTTCCTCAGGGCCCTGGCCCTGCCTGTGTCCCCTGTGTCGAGGGGCGCCAGCATGCTGCCCCTCACTCCTCCCAGTTTCCTCCGACAGAGGCTCCGTTGCAGACGCTTCACATGGACGTGTGGGGCCCTGCCCGCGTCCGTGGACTCGGTCACGAGCGCTACTTCCTGTTGGTGGTTGACGACTACTCGCGTTACACCACAGTCTTCCCCTTGCGCAGCAAGGGTGATGTCACTGAGGTGCTGATCGACTGGATCCGCGCCGCTCGTCTCCAGCTCAGGCAGAGCTTTGGCTCGGACTTTCCTGTGTTGCGTCTGCACTCGGGCAGGGGCGGAGAGTTTTCCTCTGGCCTTCTGAGTGCCTACTGTCGTGCGCGAGGCATCCGCCAGACCTTCACGCTTCCGGACTCACCGCAGCAAAATGGGATTGCAGAGCGCCGCATTGGCATGGTCATGGACGTCGCTCGTACGTCTATGATGCATGCGGCTGCCCCCCATTTTCTGTGGCCGTTTGCGGTCAGGTACGCGGCGCATCAGATCAACCTCCACCCCAGGGTCTCTAGGCCGGAGACCTCCCCAACCCTGCTGTGGACGGGGAAGGTTGGCGATGCGTCGCCGTTCCGGGTCTGGGGATCTCGGGCGTTTGTCCGCGACTTGTCTGCGGAAAAGCTGTCCCCTCGCGCTGCTCCCTGCGTCTTCCTGGGGTTCCCCCCCGACGCCCCTGGGTGGTAGTTCAACCACCCCACCTCTCGACGTGTTCTGTCCTCCTAGGATGTCACGTTCGACGAGTCGGTACCCTACTACCGCCTCTTCCCCTACCGCACTCCGTCCCTCCCCCAGCCCCCGCTCTTCTTGGTACCAGGTCCCCCCCCGGTCGACCCCCTCCCCCCTCAGGGTCCTGCCCCTTCAGGTGTGTCCCAGGTAGACGCGGTTGAGCCTGTCGAGGTCACTGGTGACTCTGGTGCTGCTGCGGGAGCTGAGCCTTGGGGGTGCTGTGCCTGGGGGTGCTGAGCCTGGGGGTGCGGGGTCTGAGGGTGCTGAGTGTGGGGGTGCTGAGCTTGGGGGTGCTGTGCCTGGGGGTGCTGAGCCTGGGGGTGCTGGGCTTGGGGGTGCTACGCCTGGAGGTGCTTTGCCTGGGGGTGCTGAGCCTGGAGGTTCTTCGCCTGGAGGTTCTCCGGGTGCTTCGTCTCGCCGAGAGCCACTCTCCTCTCAGGAGCTGCGTGAGTGGTTTGCTCGGCGCTGGAGGCGTGCTGCTGGTGCTGGAGGTTCTTCTGCTGCTGAGGGTGCTGCTGCCGGAAGTCCCGGAGGTGCTCGTACTGGGAGTACTGGAGCTGCTGGGCCTGCGGGTTCGCCTGGAGCTGGTGCTACTAAGGGTGCTGGCGCTGAGACTACCACTGGTGGTTCGACTGGCGGTGCTCCTAGTGCTGCTGGAGTTTCTGGGGCTGCTGGAGGTGCTGCTGGAGGTGCTGCTGGAGCTACAGGAGGTGCTGCTGGAGGTGCTGCTGGAGCGGGTACTCCTGCTGGGGGTGCTGGTGCTGTCCCTACTGTTTCTGGAGTCCCCACGCGGCCCCGACCGTACTTCGTACCGCTCCTGCAGCAGGTTTTTGGTCTTCCACCTTCTCTTGGTCCTCCTCCTCCTCCCTTAGAGGGTCCACAGCCAATCCAGTCACTGCTACAGCCTGCCTCCCCTTTGCCTGCTCCTTCTCCCTACGCTGGTCCGACTGGAGGTCTTACTGAGCGTCGTGAGCCTGCGTCTCGTCCTGCGTCGCCTGTTCGTACTGCGCGCACTAGTGGTCGCGGCTCGCGTCAGCGTCCGCCTCCTGTCTTTGGCACGCACCGAATGTCTCTGCATCTGTCCACTGCTCCTCTATGTGCCCCTTTGCCTTCTCCTCCTTCTTCCTCTCTTCCTGCTCTTGCCGACCCGGAGTCGGACTCTCTTCGTGCTGCCAGTCCTACTGTCACGCGTCTCCTTGCTACTGCTGTCACTGACCCTTCTTTCAAGTCTTCTGCTGCGTCTGCCCTTGTCACTGAGCTCGTCGACTTTGCTGCACACTGTCGTCTAGACTACGCTGCTGGTCTTGTCGCTGAGTCTGAGTCTGTCTGTCCTCCGTCCGTTGGGGGTGAGTGTGCCCTTGGCACGAACGTCCTTGAGGACAGGCAGGAGGAGTTTCAGTGTCTGGCCGCCGCTTCACCTCATCTCGCGTCTGTACTGCTAGCCCCTGAGGGAGACCCGGATGCACTAGACATCCCGACTCCGCGCTCTTACGCGGAGGCGATAGAGGGTCCCTACTCCTCTTAGTGGCAGGCAGCTATGGATGCAGAGATGGCTTCCTGGAAGTCCACAGGCACCTACGTTGACGCTGTTCCCCCTCCTGGGGCGAACATTGTCAGTGGCATGTGGATTTTCAGGGTGAAGCGGCCGCCGGGTTCTCCGCCTGTCTTCAAGGCGCGGTACGTGGCTCGTCGTTTCAGTCAGCGGCAGGGAGTTGACTACTTTCAGACCTTCTCGCCCACCCCAAAGATGACCACTCTTCGGGTACTGCTGCACCTTGCTGCTCACCGTGACTACGAGCTGCACTCTCTCGACTTCAGCACTGCTTTCTTGCAGGGCAGCCTGCACGAGGAGATCTGGCTACGTCGCCCACCTAGCTTCACTGGGTCTTTCCCTCCTGGTACCCAGTGGAGTCTCCGGCGTCCAGTCTACGGTCTCCGCCAGGCGCCGCGTGAGTGGCACGACACACTGAGGACTACGCTGGCGGCACTTGGGTTTGCTCCCTCCACTGCAGACCCGTCGCTGTTTCTGCGCACCGACACCTCTCTGCCGCCGTTCTACATCCTCGTGTACGTCGACGACTTGGTCTTTGCCACAGCTGACACTGCTGGACTCGCCTACGTGAAGTCCGAGCTGTAGAAGAGACACACGTGCACTGACCTGGGTGAACTGCGCAGCTACCTTGGCTTGCAGATCACCCGGGACAGAGCACGCCGCACCATTACCCTGACTCAGTCACACATGGTGCAGCAGGTCCTTCAGCGCTTCGGCTTCACGTACTCCTCGCCTCAGGCCACTCCTCTGCCTACTCGCCACTCGCTCTCAGCTCTGCCTTCGGATGAGTCCGTAGAGTCGAGTGGCTCGTATCCAGAGCTTGTTGGCTGCCTCATGTACCTGATAACCTGCACACGACCTGACCTTGCATACCCTCTGAGCATTCTTGCACGCTATGTTGCTCCTGGGAGACACCGACCAGAGCACATGGCTGCAGCGAAGAGGGTGTTGCGCTACTTGTGCAGTACGTCGGGCATGGGGCTAGTGCTTGGAGGGCGCAGTCCAGTGGTCCTCACTGAGCACGCAGACGCTTCTTGGGCTGATGACCAGGCTACGCAGCGGTCGTCACAGGGTTATACCTTCAGTCTTGGTTCCGGCTCTGTATCGTGGCGGGCTACCCGCTCATCTTCTGTTCTCGGCTCCAGTTGTGAGGCTGAGATCTACGCCGGGGCCATGGCTGCACAGGAGTTACGCTGGCTCACCTACCTGCTGACCGACCTTGGAGAGCCGCCTCGTTCTCCTCCAGTCCTGTACGTAGACAACAAGGCCATGCTGGCCTTGTGTCGAGAGCAGCGACTGGAGCACAGGACAAAGCACATTGCTCTCCGCTACTTTCTTGCTCGTGAGCTACAGCAGCGTGGACAGTTGCGACTTGCGTACGTGGCCTCTGAGGCCAACACTGCTGATGTCTTCACCAAGGCACTTGCGCCTTGTGATCATCAACGCTGCTGCACGCAGCTGGGTCTTGTACCTCTCTTGCCTCACTCACTCACTTCTTGACCTTGCTTGTACTTTTACCTATATATACTCTTGCTCTTGCTTGCTTGCCTCTTGTATATCTCTATATATTATCTTGCATGTGAACTGGCCTTCTGGCCTTTGAACTTGTGCTCGGAATGTGTGGTGACTTTGTGATCCACCCTGAGCTTTGCTTTGCTTTGCTTGACTGGTCTTGTGACCCCTTGTTCTCCCCCACTTTGCCTATGGGGGTGTGTCAGAACATTATAGCTTATATATATTTGTGTAGGCTATAGTGGGGCATCCCATAGCGGGTACAACCCTATCAGGGTTTCCTATATGTACTCACTTCATTCATAGTTGATTCATTCTCGTTCTAACTTTCTCACGTTTCCCCTATTACTATGTCGTTGCACGTTCCTTTGCTTTCTCGCAGAACGAGCGGCTGCGATTATGGAGGTATGCAGTATCCCCTTCAATATAGTATCGTTTACAGTATGTTTGTTTCGCCCATTTATTCATGTGAAATTGATGGTATGTCACCCTTTTTCCTTGTATTCTCAACAAGCAGGTGCATATCCGTGGTAAAGATTATTTGAATAAACTGTGCTGGTTGGACACCATTTCCGCGCCGCCACCACTTCCGCGTGGCAGAAATCTTTCGTCCCTATATCAAGCTTGCAAGAGTATAATCACGTGAAGAGATTATTATTGTTTGTATAATTATGCCATTCATGATGTCCTGGTTTACCAAGTAGTAAAGGTGATAATTTCAAAATGTGTTTTTGGTTTTCTTCTACGGTGCTTTTCCTCGTGGAAAAGGCCTTTCACCCTTTAATGTGTGTTTGTTGGTTTTGTGTTGTCAGGTTATTTTAGCCATGTGTGATATCTATCTTTACTGGGGCAAATGTACAAAGCACCATCATGCTAACTTGTTTCTTTTGTAGCCAAGCTGTATTTGCAGTTTGGCTGTTATGGTGTGATGTGGCTCTCTTGGAGGTGGGTTTTTTTAGGTGTGTGTGTGTGTAGAATGTTTGGGAACTTTTGTGGCGAGCATGATCTTGATCTTCTGATTTTTGTTGGAAACATGATTTTGATAAGATTGAAACATGGTTTTATAAAATGGTAGAGTTGTACACCACTCACCAGGTTTGTAGAGAACGAGGGGAGGTAAAGACTAGACAGGGTGCCAGAGGGGGCCGCCGGACATGGGAGGACAGTGGAGAAGTGAGCAAGGACAGGACCCCCAGAGGGGTCTGCAAGGGAGACTGCAACTGGCCGACCAAGCGGCGTGAGTGTGGTGCGGTCTCGAAAGAAGGAGCGAGAAGCCCCCGAGTCAAGTGTGAAGGTGTGGGAGGCCGAAGCCGACGCAGTACCTGAGAGCGCAGACTCACCAGTATTGGAGGAAGCAGACGCACTAGCATCTAGAGCAGCAGCCTCGCTAGCACCAAGAGCAGCAGCCTCACCAGCACCTAGAGCAGCAGTCTCAATGGCCGGGTCGGGCGGGAAACACCGGTAACAGTCACCCTCATCACTAATAGACAGAGCATACATAGCAGCAAGAATAGCATCAAAGTCAAGGTCAAAGACAGCTACCCCTGCCCTAGACAGCTCGCCCCAGCGAGGGATCTCAGAGGCCTCCGGGAACTGGTGACGCCAAGCGTCCGTCAGGCGGCCAAAGCCGCGCTGGGGGGGGTGCGCACCCCCACACTGCTCACCCGCACGGTCGCCGGTGCGCAGGATGTAGGTGCACGGACCAGTACCCCCACCCCGCTGGCGTGCAGCGTACCATTCACGGAGCTGCTGAGGGGACAGGGTCTCTCGACTGCGCTGCTGCTGCTGGCGCTGACCACCACCGGAGCCACTCCTCTGCGAAGAGCCATGACCTCCTCCTCCTCCTCCTCCTCTTCCACCGCCTCCTCCACCTCCGCCACCTCCACCACCTCCGCTCCCACCGCCACCGCCGCCGCCGCCTCCGCCTCCACTACCGCCGCCGACACCTCCACCCCCGCCACCACTCCCACCACCACCCCCACCCCCTCCACTTCCTCCACCGCCGCCTCCACCGCCCCCGCTAGCTCCTCCAGCGCCCCTGCCCCCCTTGCCCTTGCCAGAGCGACGCTTCCCACCAGGGGTAGACGCCGCACCGACCGACTCCAGACCAAGGAGGTCGGCCGCAGCAGCAGAGGCAACAAAGGGCAAAAGAGGGGAGGGGGAACACCCCTCAAAGATGGGGGTGCGAGGGTCACCCCAAGAGGCTCCTACAGCGACTATGCTCTTTTCTGCTGCTAGGAGGGCCTTCTCGAGGAGGTCAACGGTGAGAGTGGTGGGGCAAACTGAGAGGAAGTGGTCCCTAACTACGCGAAGGGAGTCAGGGAGACGGGTGACTATGTAGTAGAGGGTGATGTACATGGGGGGGGGGTTCTTGGCGCAGAACTCAGCACGAAGCGCAGCGCGGTAGCGAGTGTCACTAGTGCGGAGGTGCGTAATGAGGTCAGCGACTGTGGGAAAGGTAGCAAGGTCAGGGAAGAGGTACGGTAGCATGAGGCGGCTCAGTGCAGCAGTGGCAGGGGAGGAGTAGCGTGCAACTACAGCGTCGTACAAGGTCTGAGCACTCTTGTACTGGCTAAAGTGCGCACGCTCAGAGGTAGGCAGGTGGCGACGCACAGCAAGACGTGCAGCAGCATCGCGCGTGGCCCACTGTGAGCGAAAAGTGACGTCACCATCAGCAGCGGGGGCAGGAGAGACACCAGAAGTGAGGTCAAAGAGGGAGAGGCCGTCTGCTCTATCGCACTGTAAGAAAAGCTGCAGGTCGTCGACCCAGATGTCAAAGTCAATGGCCCTACCCTCAGCGTCAAAAGCTAGGACACTAGGGGTAGCCATGACAGTAGTAGACTAGCAGTACGAACAGTGGGGTAAGGGCAGTGCAGGGGTAGAGGCGCTGCTCTTACCGGACAGGGCGGCTCGGCGGCTCGGCTGCAGGGCGTCTCGGCGGCTCGGGTGGCTCGGCGGCAGGGCGGCTCGGCGGCTCGGCGGCTCGGCTGCTAGGCGGCTCGGCGGTTTGGCTGCTCAGCTGCTAGGCGGCTCGGTGGCTCGGTTGTTGGGCGGCTCAGCGTCTCTGCTGCTGGGCGGCTCGGCGGCTGGGCTTCTCGGCTGCTCGGTTGCTGGGCGGCTCGACGGCCCGGCGGCTTGGTCAGTGGGCGGCTTGGCGGCTGCGGCTCCTGATCAGGGACGGCGGTGGGGCCGGTAGGAGGCGGCGTCGGAGCCGGGAAGGGCGGCACCGGGGCCGTAGGAGCAGGCGCCGGGGCCGTAGGAGAAGGCGCCGGGGCCGTAGGAGCAGGGGCCGGGGCCGTAGGAGCAGGCGCCGGGGCCTTAGGAGAAGGCGTCGGGGCTGTAGGAGCAGGGGCCGGGGCCGTAGGAGCAGGCGCCGGGGCCGTAGGAGCAGGCGCCGGGGCCGTAGGAGCAGGCGTCGGGGCCGTAGGAGCAGGCGCCGGAGCCAGACAAGGTGGCGTCGGGGCCGGGAAGGGCGGCGTCGATGCCGCTAGGGCGGCTCACGGTGGGCCAACGGGCGGCTCGAAGGGCCGCAAGGGCGGCAAGCGGCGCCGACAGGCGGCGCAAGAGGCCGCTAGGGCGGCGCACAGGGTCGGTGGGGCCGCTGTAAGAGGCGGCGACGGGCCGCAAGGGGGGAGGCGTCGACGGGCCGCAAGGGGGAGGCGGCGACGGGCCGCAAGGGGGGGGGGGGTGGCGATGCAGCTGAAGGAGGCGGCGACAAGTCGCTGAGGGCGGTACGACGGGGCCGCGAAGGAGGCGGCGCGACTGGGCCGCAGAAAGGGGTGGCGCGACGGGCCACTAAGGGCGGCGCGACGGGCCGTAAGGGCGGCGCGACGGGCCGTGAGAGGGCCGCTAGGGGCGACGCGACGGGGCCGTGAGGGGCCTAGCGAGGGCGCGCCGGTAGGGAGAGCACACGGAGCGCGACTTGGGCTGAGTGGAGCGCGATCCGGGTAGGAAAAAAAAATTTCGTAGTGGTGGGCCCTAGGAATCGTTCCCATTAGGGAACCTGCTCGATACCATGAGAAGAAACAAGGAATGAATAAACTATGAATGAATTGGGTACAAGTACTAACCCTAATTGGGTTGTACCCCTTATGGGCTACCCCACTATAGCCTACACAATATGCATAAGCTATAATGTTCTGACACAGGAGGCGACGCCCGTTGCAGATCACCTCGAGTACTAGTGGTTGCTGCTTCTCCGAGTATCCGTAGATGGTATCGCTTATAGGATCGTAGGGTACGTCGAATATGTTATCCCTAGGTCCTGCGCTCGAAGATGCAGCTTTAGTTTCAGATTTCATCTGAGAAAGGTTAGAAGGTTTTATCCGAGGCCGATTCGGCTTCTCTTGGGCCTGGAACCTTCCACTAAGCCTTTGCAGCTGTGTAGGCTTTATCTGTGGGGAACAGGGAGCCTTTAAACAGTGCTGCTGGGAGAGAATATTAACTCCTCGGAACGCCCGACCCGTATTAGCGCTCTGGAGTAGGGTCCCCATAATACCCGGTACCGGTTTAATTTCTCACTCTCCCTTAATAAAGGTTTGAAACCCACGAGAAGTAATATTCTTACTTGTCGGGGTATACGGCTGGAGTTTCCTGTCAGAATATATTTGCTGTCTAGCCTGCAGTGGGGTACTCTGTAATGAGTACAACCCAATTTAGGGCAATGTACTTGTATCCCAACTCTTCCTAGTCACTTCACTTCCCTTCCAATTTCTCGACTCTCACCTAACCCACTCGAACTTACCTATCTCCTAGTGTGGGCCTAGGCTACTAAGCCTAGGCCCCACACCTAATATTTTCACATTTCCCAGTCGGTGCAGGGTCTTGTTTCGCGGATCCTCTATTAGTCTCGGCGATTTCCCCAGGTGCCGGCTGATCGTGACGTTTTAAATTTGCGCCACCATATTCTCCTTTTTTCGCCCTCTCCGAATCTGCCACGTTGTCCGTTTTCTGCTTCGGGGGTGCCGCACTGTTCTTGTCCTTCAGCTCTGCACACCTTCTCTTCATTTTCCAACACGCCAAGATACGATGTCCTATAGCGCCGCAAAATTTGCACGTCTCATTATTTGCTAGCCGCTGCTCCACATCGCTCTCGTCGTTCTCCATCGGGTCGGCAGTGGTGGGTGGTGCCAATCGCCCCATGCCACTAGTTGGCTTGTTGCGTTGTGTTCCGTAGTAGCTACTGTTCAACGTGTCGAACTGTTCGATCAGTGCTGCCGGAAACTGCGCCCACGTCCCCTCGCCTTGGACTATTCTGTTGTTGATCCACTCTAGAGCTGGGCCTTGTAACAGTGTTGCTGCGAGCCGTATGCGCATTGCGTCTTTTGTCGGGGTAGTGCATCCAGCGGCTTCGAAGTAAATTTCGAGTTCAGCTACATCCTTTTTACTGTAGGATCGAACGCCTCCGGTAGCCTCGGCTTCACTGCTTCGAGGTTAACTGTAGCTGCTTCCGTTGTCGCATGTAGAATTGTCGGTGTTGCCGCTGCTGCTGCTGCTGCTACTGTTGTCGCTGCTGCTGTGGCGGGTGCCGACTGGTTTGCAAGGAGTTTTTCAAGTTGTGGGAGCGCCGCATGTATTTGCTTATGCTCAGCACGTAACTCCACAATTTTCTGTACTGAAATATCTCCCTTTCCCTCCATTTGGCGATTTGCAGGAAGATGCGCGACGAAAAAAATCAAATTCTAGGTGGTGGTCGACTTACTGCGAGTCAAGTTGACTAAAGGATCGACGAGCAAATTCTGTAGGTCGCGTAAATCTCTCTTGGGCGAAATTCGCGTCCGATCTTGGCTGTTGAGAAGAAAATCATTCCGACTCTCCAAATTCCAACGTTTTTGGGCGAAATTCTCTGGGCCGTTGAGATGAAACTCGATCGTGAGAAAACTGAAACGAGGATGATGAACTATGAATGAAGTGGGTAGAAGTACTAACCCTAATTGGGTTGTACCCCTTATGGGATACCCCACTACAGCCTACACAAAAGCATAAGCTATAATGTTCTGACACACCCCCATAGGCAAAGTTGGGGAGAACAAAGGGTCACAAGACCAGTCAAGCAAAGAAAAACAAAGCAAAGCTCAGGGTGGATCACAAAGTCACCACACATTCCGAGCACAAGTACAAGGCCACAAGGCCAGTTCACATGCAGGAGTACATATATATGTAAGGCTAGACAAGCAAGAGTAGATATATATATATATATGTAACAGTACAAGCAAGGTCAAGAGGTGAGCAAGTGAGGCAAGACAGGGACAAGACCCAACTGAGTGCAGAAGCGCTGATGATCACAAGGCGGAAGTGCCTTGGTGAAAACATCAGCAGTGTTGGCCTCAGAGGCCACGTACGCAAGCCGCAACTGTCCACGCTGCTGTAGCTCACGAGCAAGGAAGTAGCGGAGAGCAATGTGCTTTGTTCTGTGCTCCAGTCGCTGCTCGCGACACAAGGCCAGCATGGCCTTATTGTCTACGTACAGCACTGGAGGAGAACGAGGCGGCTCTCCGAGGTGAGTCAGCAAGTAGGTGAGCCAGCGAAGCTCCTGTGCAGCCATGGCCCCAGCGTAGATCTCAGCTTCACAACTGGAGCCGAGAACAGAAGACGAGCAAGTAGCCCGCAACGAGACAGAGCCGGAACCAAGGCTGAAGGTGTAACCCTGTGACGACCGCTGCGTAGCCTGGTCGTCAGCCCAAGAAGCGTCTGCGTGCCCAGTGAGGACCACTGGACTGCGCCCTCCAAGCACTAGCCCCATGCCCGACGTACTGCACAAGTAGCACAACACCCTTTTCGCTGCAGCCATGTGCTCTGGTCGGTGTCTCCTAGGAGCAACATAGCGTGCGAGAATGCTAAGAGGGTATGCAAGGTCAGGTCGTGTGCAGGTCGTCAGGTACATGAGGCAGCCAACAAGCTCTGGATACGAGCCACTCGACTCTACGGACTCATCCGAAGGCAGAGCTGAGAGCGAGTGGCGAGTAGGCAGAGGAGTGGCCTGAGGCGAGGAGTACGTGAAGCCGAAGCGCTGAAGGACTTGCTGCACCATGAGTGACTGAGTCAGGGTAATGGTGCGGCGTGCTCTGTCCCGGGTGATCTGCAAGCCAAGGTAGCTGCGCAGTTCACCGAGGTCTGTGCACGTGTGTCTCTTCTGCAGCTCGGACTTCATGTAGGCGAGTCCAGTAGTGTCACCTGTGGCAAAGACAAGGTCGTCGATGTACACGAGGATGTAGAACGGCGGCAGAGAGGTGTCGGTGCGTAGAAACAGCGACGGGTCGGTAGTAGAAGGAGCAAACCCAAGAGCCACAAGTGTAGTCCTCAGTGTGTCGTGCCACTCACGTGGCGCCTGGCGGAGACCGTAAACTGGACGCCGGAAGCTCCACTGGGTACCAGGAGGGAACGACCCAGTGAAGCCAGGTGGGCGGCGCAGCCAGATCTCCTCGTGTAGGCTGCCCTGCAAGAAAGCTGTGCTAAAGTCGAGAGAGTGCAGCTCGTAGTCACGGTGAGCAGCAACGTGCAGCAGTACCCGAAGAGTGGTCATGTTCGGGGTGGGCGAGAAGGTCTGAAAGTAGTCAGCTCCCTGCCGCTGACTGAAACGACGAGCCACGTACCGCGCCTTGAAGACAGGCGGAGAACCCGGCGGCCGCTTCACCCTGAAAATCCACATGCCACTGACGATGTTCGCCCCAGGAGGGGGAACAGCGTCAACGTAGGTGCCTGTGGACTTCCAGGAAGCCATCTCTGCATCCATAGCTGCTTGCCACTGAGAGGAGTAGGGACCCTCTATCGCCTCCGCGTAAGAGCGCGGAGTCGGGATGTCTACTGCATCCGGGTCTCCCTCAGGGGCTAGCAGTACAGACGCGAGATGAGGTGAAGCGGCGGCCAGACACTGAAACTCCTCCTGCCTGTCCTCAAGGACGTCCGTGCCAAGGGCACACTCACCCCCGACGGACGGAGGACAGACAGACTCAGACTCAGCGACAAGACCAGCAGCGTAGTCTAGACGACAGTGCGCAGCAAAGTCGACGAGCTCAGCAACCAAGGCAGACTCAGCAGTGGACTCGAAAGAAGGGTCAGTGACGACAGTAGCCTGGAGACGCGTGACAGTAGGACTGGTAGCACGAAGAGAGTCCGACTCTGGGTCGGCAAGAGCAGGAAGAGAGGACTCAGGAGGAGAAGGCAAAGGTGCACGCAGAGGAGCAGTGGACGGACGCAGAGACATCCGGTGCGTGCCAGGGACAGGAGGAGGACGCTGACGCGAACCACGACCACTAGCGCGAGCAGGACGGACAGGCGACGTAGGGCGAGACGCAGGCTCACGACGCTCAGCAAGACCTCCAGTAGGACCTGTGTAGGGAGAAGGAGCAGGCAAAGGAGAGGTAGGCTGCAACTGTAACTGTGACGGGACAGGCTGTGGACACTCTAAGGGAGGAGGAGGACCAGTAGAAGGAGGAAGACCAAGAACCAGCTGCAGGAGTGGAACAAAGTACGGTCGAGGCCGCGTGGCGACGCCAGACACAACAGGGACAACACCAGTACCCCCAGTAGGAGCACCCGCTCCAGCAGCACCTCCAGTAGCTCCAGAACCTCCAGCAGCACCAGGAGTACCCCCAGCAGGACCGCCAGCGGTAGTCTCAGCGCCAACACCCTCAGCAGCACCAGCTCCAGTCGAACCCGCAGGCCCAGCAGCTCCAGTACTCCCAGTACGAGCACCTCCGGGACCCGCGATAGCAGCACCCTCAGTAGCCGAAGAACCTCCAGCACCAGCAGCACGGCTCCAGTGCCGGGCAAACCACTCGCGTAGCTCCTGTGGAGAGAGTGGCTCCCGCAGAGACGAAGCAACCGGAGAACCTCCAGGCGTAGCACCTCCAAGCTCAGCACCCCCAGGCTCAGCACCCCCAGGCTCAGCACCCCCAGGCACAGCACCCCCAGGCTCAGCACCCCCAGGTGTAGCACTCCCAGGCACAGCACCCCCAGGCGTAGCACCCCCAGGCACAGCACCCCCACGCTGAGCATGTTGTTCAGGATCCGTCACTTTGAGAACTTACGACGAACTCATTACTCAACTAAACGCAAATCCGCTCGGTAGGATTGTGCGCCTTAGGCTTAGCTACCATCTCCAAGTTGAATCAGTCGTTAAGATGGTCTATAGAGTGAGAACCAAGTAAAAACGTCCAGCAGCCGCATGACTTGAATGGTAGAGGAAGAACAAGCATGTAGGCATAGAAAGTTGGAGTTGGGGACTCCAAGAGAACCATGAGAGAGAAGGGGTTCTCCAAGAGCTAGGGAAGGATGGTAGGAACCTTCCTAGCAGCAAGGATGCAACCCTCATCATGAGGTCCTTGAGGTGTCACATGCAAAATCCAATCTAGTTGGATTTTGCCTAGGTGTTGCAACATTTGCAACCCATGCTAGAAACTTCTAGCCACCCCAATCCAAAAGTCAAAGTTGCCTTCCCTAACCACCCAACCAAAGATCCCTTTATAGTCATGTCCCAAGTAATCACCCAAATTAGATATAACCCCAAAAGGTAATAAGAAATCCAAGTCTTGGAAATCTTGTAACTTGGGCGATCTTGGTCGGAATAAGGCGATTTTGGTATCGTTGGAAAGCTCTAGATTTCTCCTGCATGATCAAGCATTTAGACTTGGAGAAAAAACACAGAGACGACAATATCCAACAGCCATGCATAATGACATATGCTCATGCAAATCATGCAAGCACAAATAGCACGAGCACTCGGCAGGACGTTAGGATGACATGCACTCAGAATGACGTGCATCCAACAAACTCCCCCTCAGACTAACGGACTGCATGCACATATACTCACACAAATGCTAACTCTCATGCACACAATCACACATGCACTCATGACACTGCTGCCCACACTAGTGCAATGCCATGCCACACATCTTAGCACACTTTCAATATGCGCTCTCGGGAAGTCTCTTGGTGAGAAAATCTGCCGCCTGCTTGCTAGCCTTAACATGGTGAAGCTCAACAATCCCCTCCTTCACCATCTGCCTCACCCAATGCCACTTAATCTTCATGTGCTTGTTCAGCCCATTGAGGATAGGATTATTTGCCATGCCAATAGCAGCCTCGCTGTTGGAGAAAAGTGGTGTAGGTCCCTCCTGTTCAGCTCCCATGTCCTCCAGCAGCTTCCTCAGGAGCACGATCTCCTTGATGGCATGGTACATCGCCATGTACTCTGCCTCTCCGGAAGACTGAGCAATCTCACTCTGCTTCTTGGACCTCCAGCTCACTGGTCCACCTCCGACCATGCACACAAAGCCGCCAACCGATGACTGATCCTCATCCTCTGAGGCCCATGTGGCGTCGGTGAAGCACGACAGCTTCAAGGTACCAGGCGTGACCCCATCTGCTCCAATCTGTTTCAGCTGGCCGCTAGCTGAAAACTGAACACCAGCAGATGCCGTTGATCCAAGGTAGCGCACCAAGCGCTTTGCCACCTCCAACTGCTCCACAGTGGGCCGTTGCACAACTCTGGCCAGCTGCCACACTCCGAACGAAGCATCAGGTCGCATATGCACAGCTGCATACATCACACTCCCAATGAGTGACTGGTACTCATTCTGCTGCTCATCCTCAAGCACATCATCCTCCTCAGCTGCCTTCTTCAATTTGAAGCCTGCAGGGAACGGTGTCATCACAGTGCGACCCCCAGTCACACCATACCGCTCCATGACACCAGAGATGTAGTGTGACTGATGCACCTTCAGCCACCTCCTCTCAACATCCCTCTCAATCTGCAGCCCCAAGTAGTAGTGGACATCCCCCAGCATCTTGCACTTGAAGTTGTCCATCAGCAGCTTCTGTGTCCTATCAATCTGCTCCATGGAAGGTGAGAACAGGCAGCCCGCTGCCGCTCCTCGACACAGGGGACACAGGTAGGGCCAGGGCCCTGAGGAAGGAGAGGGAGGGACCGGGGGAGACCAGAGACAAGAAGACGGGAGGCCATGCCTCTGAGCCGAAGCAGAGAGGGGTGACCAAGGCGGTGGTGCCAGAGGAGAGTCTCGTGAGACAGGCGACGACACGAACAGGGGGCAGACTCAGGACCAGACCTGGATGCTGCAGCAAACACCTGACCCGACGCAGCTACCCTACCAGACTCAACAACTGGAGGAGACGCAGTGGTAAGTGTGTACAGGCTCGACCCCGGCTGACGGGTAAACGTAGCCAGGTGTCGGCCTGTGCTAGCCTCTGTGCAGTGCGTCACCCGCTGATGCGGAGGAGTGAACTGGTGTACTCCCCCATCCTGTAGGTCAGCACCACTCACCACGTTCGTAGAGAACGAGGGGAGGTAGAGACCAGACAGGGTACCAGAGGGAGCCGCCGAACACGGGAGGACTGTGGAGAAGTGAGACAGGACAGGACCCCCAGAGGGGTCAGCCAGAGACACCGCAAACCGCCGACTAAGCGGCGTGAGTGTGGTGCGGTCCCGAAAGAAGGAGCGAGAAGCCCCAGAGTCAAGGGTGAAGGTGAGGGAGGCCGAAGCCGACGCAGTACCAGAGAGCGCAGACTCACCAGTACCTGAGGACGCAGACGCACTAGCACCTAGAGCAGCAGCGTCGCAAGCACCTAGGGCAGCAGCCTCACCAGTACCTAGAGCAGCAGTCTCAATGCCCGGATCGGGCGGGAAACACCGGTAACAGTCACCATCATCACTAATAGACACAGCATACATGGCAGAAAGGATAGCATCAAAATCAAGATCATAGATGGCAATTCACGCCCTAGACAGCTCGCCCCACCGAGGGATCTCTGTGGCCTCCGGGAACTGGTGACGCCACGCGTCCGTCAGGCGGCCAAAGCAGCGCTGGGTGGGGTGCGCACCCCCACACTGCTCACCCGCACGGTCGCCGGTGCGCAGGACGTAGGTGCACGGACCAAAACCCCCACCCCGCTGGCGTGCAGTGTACCACTCACGGAGCTGCTGAGGGGACAGGGTCTCACGACCGCGCTGCTGCTGCTGGCGTGGACCACCACCGGAGCCACTCCTCTGCGTAGACCCGCGACCTGCTCCACCTCCACCCCCGCCGCCTCCTCCGCCTCCGCCGCCTCCGCTACTACCGCCGCCTCCGCCGCCTCCTCCACCGCCACCACCTCCGCCACCTCCGCTCCCTCCGCTCCCACCGCCACCGCCGCCGCCACCGCCACCGCCGCCACCGACACCTCCACCCCCACCTCCACTCCCACCGCCACCCCCACTCCCCCCGCCGCCTCCACCTCCACCTCCACCGCCCCCGCTCGCTCCTCCAGTGCCCCTGCCCCCCTTGCCCTTGCCAGAGCGGCGTCTCCCGCTAGGGGCAGACGCCGCACCGACCGACTCAAGACCAAGGAGGTCAGCCGCAGCAGCAGAGGCAACAGAGGGCAGAAGGGGGGAGGGGGAACACCCCTCAAAGATGGGGGTGCGCGGGTCACCACGAGAGGCCCCTACAGCGACTATGCTCTTCTCGGCCGCTAGGAGGGACTTCTCGAGGAGGTCAACAGTGAGAGTGGTGGGACAAACTGAGAGGAAGTTGTCCCTGACTACGCGAAGGGAGTCAGGGAGGCGAGTGACTATGTAGTAGAGAGTGATGTACATGGGGGGGGGGGGGGGGTTCTTGGCGCAAAAGTCAGCAGGAAGCGCAGCGCGGTAGCGAGTGTCACTAGTGCGGAGGTGCGTAATGAGGTCAGTTACTGTGGGAAAGGCAGCAAGGTCAGGGAAGAGGTACGGTAGCATGAGACGGCTCAGTGCAGCAGTGGCAGGGGAGGAGTAGCGTGCAACTACAGCGTCGTACAAGGTCTGAGCACTCTTGTACTGACTTAAGTGCGCACGCTCAGAGGTAGGGAGGTGGCGACGCACAGCAAGACGTGCAGCAGCATCGCGCGTGGCCCACTGTGAGCGAACAGTGGCGTCAGCATCAGCAGCAGGAGCAGGAGAGGCACCAGAGGTGAGGTCAAAGAGGGAGAGAGCGTCTGCCCTATCGCACTGTAAGAACAGCTGCAGGTCATCTACCCAGACGTCAAAGTCAATGGCTCGACCCTCGGCGTCAAAAGCGAGGACACTAGGGGTAGCCATGACAACAGTAGACTAGCAGCGCACACAGTAGGGAAAGGGCAGTGCAGTGACAGAGGCGCTGTGCTTACTGGACGGGGCTGCTCGGGCGGCTCGGAGGTAGGGCGGCTTGGCGGCTCGGTGGTTCGGCTGCACGGCGGCTCGGCTGCAGGGCAGCTCGGCTGCTGGGCGGCTCGGCTGCAGGGCGGCTCGGCTGCTCGGCTGCTGGGCGGCTCGGCTGCAGGGCGGCTCGGCTGCTCGGCTGTCCGGCTGCTCAGCTGCTGGTCGGCTCGGCTGTGCTGCTGCACGGCGGCGCGGCGGTCGGCTGCTCGGCTAGGTGAGGCGGCTCGGGCGGCGGGCGGCGCTGCAGCAGGTGAGGAGGCCGCAGGGAAGGCGGCGGGGCCGCAAGTGAGGGCGGCGGGGACCGCAAGTAAGGGCGGCGGGGACCGCAGTTAAGGGCGGCGGGGACCGCAGGTGAGGGCGGCGGGGCCGCAGGTAGGGCGGATGGGCCGCAGGTAGGGCGGCTGGGCTGCAGGTAGGGCGACGGGGCCGGGTCGAAGGTAGGGCGACGGGGCCGGTACGCAGGTAGGGCGACGGGGCCGGGGTCGGATGTGGGGCGACGGGGCCGGGGTCGCAAGCAGGGCGACGGGGCCGGGGCCGGGGCGCAGGTAGGGCGACGGGGCTAGGGCCGGGGCCGCAGGTATGGCAACGGGGCCAGGGTCGCAGGTGGGGCGACAGGGCCGGGGTCGCAGGTAGGGCGACTGGGCCGGGGCGCAGGTAGGGGGACGGGGCCGGGGCCGTAGGTAGGGCGACGGGGTCGCTAGGGCGACGAATCAGGGGCCGCTAAGGCGGCGCGACTTGGCCGCTAGGGCGGCTCGACGAAGTCAAAGAGGGGAGCGCGACTTGGGCTGAGCGCGCTCCGGGCAGGAAAAAAAACTTTCGACTTGGTGGGCCCTAGGCACAGTTCCCACGAGGGAACCTGCTCGATACCATGAGAAAACTGAAACGAGGATGATGAACTATGAATGAAGTGGGTACAAGTACTAACCCTAATTGGGTTGTACCCCTTATGGGATACCCCACTACAGCCTACACAAAAGCATAAGCTATAATGTTCTGACAGATCGAATGGTCGAAACTCCAACCCTTCCACCAGTATATCTGAGGGGTGTTCGAAAACCGAATCGCGGGGGACTTAGAAAAATTGCGCGAAACTGGTTTTACATACCCGTATCGGCGCTTTCGTCGTCGCCCCCGCGGTTTTTTAAATGCCGGAACTAAGCGGTTGAAGACCTCGCTTGAAAACCTGCTCTGATTACCAAGTGTGAGGATCTAGGATCGAGCTCAGAAAAGAGAATGTGAATTGAATCGAATTGAATGAATCACCTGGGTACAATACGAGGCTATATATAGGCTCGACATAAGGGCTTGTAACCAGGTGTTACGCGAAGGTTCCGCGGGTCGCGAAGCGTCCCGAACAGATCCTTCCCGAATTCGGTAGGATGCAATTCGGTGGCAACCGAAAAGCCAGAATTCGGTGCACGCAACCTAGCTCGGTGCTATAACTATAATAAAATATAGGAAAGCACCTAGCCTAGGAAATCAAGCAATTCATGCATGCATATA